CCCCTTTTCAAATGACCCATAATGAACGGTCAGCATTTTTAATAAGCAGATATGTCTAGGTTTAGGGCTGCAGCTAACGATTATTTTCATAATCAGTTACCCGATTATGTTTTCAACTAATCGATTGGTTGTATATAAAAAGATTCTCTCTATGAGAATAGTTGCCAACTATTCTCATGATCGATTAGTTTTTGCACCTCTATCTACGTTAACTGACACCTGACCAAAGCTAGTAGAATGGATATGTGTACGCTTATATGAACGTACTACGGACCTTGAAACGTAGGCTCCTTCAGGACAGGAAGTGATGTACTCTAGAAAGCACTATGCAATGTCAGAGATACGTATATATACACATACTAAGATTGTAGTCCATCACAGGAGCGAGCTTGGAGTGGTGACTACTTTACAACACACAGAGACCATGGCGAACAAAAATAGTCATCCTCCGTAAGGAAGGACAGTGTCGGCACCAATTCAGAGACGTTTTGAGGATCTACAGCCGAGTGATACACAAATAAGATACATTTTTGTTAATAGTTGAGGTACATACATGTATTTTTTAGGATTTAACTCCTGAATTTAGTGTCACTTTAATTTGAAAGTAGCTGCATGATTTACTGGCCAGCTGACTGAGTGCACTTGTTGCCTGGAGAAAATTCTTTCATCTGGATGGAAGCACACTCCTAACACCTGCAGGCTCTAATATTTTAGTGGTCGGAATCTTTACTAAACACGTATAAAAACACATTGAATTAAACAAATAACACGCTTTTCTCAAAGATACGTAGAGTTGAAAACCTTTATATGGTAGCAAAAATTATAATTGCTTGCACAATGCAGCAGCCCAAAAACTTGCTTGGCCAAGTTTTAGTTTGTAGTATGCAAATGCAACCTCATAAATATGCTGATGTGTTACATATGAATCCACTAACAGACTAATGACCTGGCCTGCCTTCAAACCAAAATACTGCTGAACACAGAACCTTCGGAGCTGGAATGAGGAAAAGCGAGCCGTGGCCAGCCTTCTGTTAGGTAACACCAGCATAAACCTGCCAATAAAAAGGACATTCCTCCAAAAATGAACAGCTCTCCTGAGGTTGCATAGCTTGCAAAATACACAGTAACCCAGTGAAGAACGATGTAGACACACATGATTTCCATTCCAACTCCCACAGGCAACACTCATTCTCTTCTCAGTACATGATGAAGAAGAGGGAACTGGGACTGAACATGTGAAGGGATTTCGTAGATCACAAAAAAAAAACCTGCACTGCAGATATAAACTGCTGATACATGAAGCAACTGAGTAGGGAACTCAAAACCCAAACTGTCTTAAATGCTGACATTTCACATTAGTATGCATGCTATAGATTTCACTTCTCTCGGCTTTGTCTTGGAGCCAATTCTGAACCCAGAACAGAAAATACTTCATGAAAACTCTCAATGTGATCTGCAATGGGCACAACGCATGACAAAAAACACAAGCAGAGGATGCGACGATCAGAACTACCTATGTAATCGTTTACCAGGAGCAGCGCAGGTTAGTAAAGCCACCAATCAAAAGCCGACATGAAAACGTTAACCAACTCTTCACTACTGAAATCTGGATTCCCATTGGCTGTCACGGGTTACTGCATACCACTTCCTCAGAAGATTTCTGCTGTTAGTGGTATCCCTCTAGAATAACTACAACCGATGCAGAACTTCACAGATATTAATACAGCAATCAGAAAGTTAGGGACTCCAATGACGTCCATAAAGTAGAAGGAAGAGCTACATAATAACAGACCTTTTAACCTCCTCATTGCTCCAATGTTCCCTGTACACATTTTCTAATATATCACAATCTACATATTACTTTTTTTAAATATGTTTTCCTATGTGGTCACATGACCGCAAAGCTCCATCTGCTTCCCCTATTTTGGATATTCTCATCCTAACCGTGGCTGCAGCCAATCAGCAGAAGTCACTGTTCAGGTATTCTGACAGCGGCACACCTACCAATGTCAGAATAAGGGTGGGTTCACACCAAATGCATTGGAGCTGCCCTGGCCATTGTTTCCAGCGCAACACCAAGGCTTTGTCACTGATGGGTTCAGTTCACTGGCGTTGCGGTGGTGTGCACATGCCGTACTTTTTTTTTTTTTGCAGTGGAGCAAGATGAAGCGCAGCACAACCGCCTGGCAGCCCACTGTGTCCGTCACCTGTGGCATTTCGATAAAGTGCTACAAAAAAAAAAAAAAGTACACAATGCAATGTGTCAGGATCCGTGCATCAGAACTGTGTCGGGTACCACATACCAACCAATGTGCGTTTTGCGCAGCGGCTGTTGTGAATTGGCCCTCAAATAGACAGGTGGAGGGGATAACAGTGTGGATGAGGAATCAAGTTTCCCACATCTGAACAGGAAAAAAAAAAAAACTAAGTATGGCGAGCCTTACAGCCATGGACGCCGTCGGGGGACATGACAGCTCTATGGGATTAGCAGGAAATCAGTAGCGTTGTCCGCACTCCACACACTAGCCGGAGCTCTGCGATCATGTGACCACATAGAAAACTTTAAAAAGAAGGTATTTAGATTGTGATTTATTAGTAAATGTAGACGGGGAATATCAGAGAAATGGAGAGGCTACAGTGTAAAGGTGGTTGTTGTGCTGCCTTTCCTTCTCCTTTAACATCTCGGTCTATATGATATTTATGTTATCTGAAGCCAAGACTCGTTTCTTCATTCTGGACAGAGTGGGGAAGCTTCTGCTTGCTTTTTACCGCCATCAGTGTCCCCCACTAGAGAGACTCATTATCCCTATGTATCTTGGTGACCGTCATGACCTGAGAATGAAAGCGGGTGAAAAGCCAACATTATGAGGGAATCTTCCTATGGGGATGTTTGTTTTGTCTACAAAGAGATTTCCCCTCACTTCCTATTGTGTCTTGAGGACAAGAAATGAGGGGAAATGTCCCTAATGTCTTAAAGACGTCAGGGGTTTTAAATCTATCTTTGACTCTCGGCACACTTTGAGATCAATTGGCAAAGAAATAAAAGTTTCCAAATGATGCTGCACAGCGAAGATTAAATGACAAGAGCATTGTTGGCTATAAAAGCATGAGGGAAGAGTGGAAGGCTAAACCTCTTGTGTCTAACCTGCAGCCTGGGGGCCACAGGCAGCCCTTTGGCACTTTCTGTGCGGCCCCAGCAGACAGTAGTCCCTATGGACCAGTAATAGCAGTGATCTCTAGCGGTCTCGTGTAATGTGTCCCCCCCAGTCCATGACTAGAAAATCTTGTGTGGAGCTGCACAATCCAGACAACAC